TCATCCTAAAAATGTTGAGCAGCACTTGGCCCAGGCTGAGCCCCGTGGTACCCCACTCATTTTGGAAGGGGCCGTTGAAGATCACTCCGAGTACCATTCTGTAGCCACCTGGGGATCCACCTGAAAGTTGCTCCACTTCAGGAAGCCCCCGAATTTAGCAGTGGTCCAAAAGCAGCTCCTCAGTTCTGCTGCTGGTTTGGGGTAGCAAACCATGGCAGAAGACTCCCGAGGCCAAATGTTGGCAAGTGGTGGTAGCGGGGGGTTGTGGGTGTCCCCACACGAGTGCTGCGTGCCACACACTGCCCATCCCATCCTCCTTCCAGCAGCGGGCATTTGCATCTTAGCACGCTGCCTCCGACATCTGCCTGAAAGGAAAGGCAAAGTAGAAATTAAGTAAAACTTAATTTCTAGAGAACATGCTATGCCCTTATGTACACTGAACAAGATTGAGGCATTTCCTGGCATCCTCTGAGCACGGAGACCCAGCGTGGCGTCCTGGTCGAAGTGCTGGACGGGGACTTGTCCCCATTCGGCCATGAAGCCCACTGAGTGTCTCTGAGCCAGGTACAGACTCCTGGCCTCACCTCCCTCACAGGGCTGCTGCTGCAAGGATAAAAAATGGAGACAAGAGGACCGTGCAAGCCACTGTGGGTTTCTTGCAAGAAGCAGGGAATACATGCGGCAGTCAGTAACAATAGGCCAGAGAAACTCCTCTGAGGACAGCAGGGCTGTGCCCGTATCAAGTAGCCGTTTGCAGGTGGAATCTGCCAACTGCCATTTGGACACGCATTTATACGGTTTTACAGGCAGCCGCCCAGAGCAGCAGAATGAGCTGAAATTGAAAAAGATTGTTCCTGATGTTCTTTCTCAGGAGGTTTCTCAGGATAATTATGTATGTTGTTTTCTTTGCCCGAGTGCCAGAAAGTAATAAACAATGTTTGTATAGCTCTGCCTGTTAACCTACATTTCTCAGCTCAGATAGAAGTCGTGAGCGGTTCAGCGGGAAACAACTTTCAGGAAAGCAAACAGCCTCCAGACAAGCTCATTTGACAGAAGGGTAGCAATAACACCTAGAAATCTACAAAGACCACAGTGGAGCCAGGCAGTGTATATTTACACATATCCACTCTTCTATTCTAGCTCTGTCTACTGAAGGCTGGTATGAATCCCTAAATGGGAGAGGGGGGAGAGGAAAGGGGGGAGGAACAGCTAATTTACAGCACCTTTTGCAGAGATTTCCTAGCACATTTTAATTGTTCTGAACCAGGGTTCAATGGACAGTCTAATCCTATGCAGAGTTAGGTGCCTGAATGCCCACTGAAATCAATTGCATGCACTTGTATTTCTGCATATCCCATCAAATGCATTGCATCCTCTCAGCAACCCTGAACCATGCAGTGATTTCCGGATCAGGACGGGGCGGTGCGCCCCCTCATGCCCATTCCGCCATCTTACCCTTTCCTGCTCACTCTCACAAGTGCCCAGTCCCAGTTGCGCTGGTGGCAGGTGCTGCCAGTAGAACAGAAACAGCAGCAGTCCTGTGCTCACCTGGATGCTGCCAACAGACCACTAAGGGATTTTATTATGCTAAGCAGCCGATAAGTATTAACAAATGAACATGAATCATGAACAAATGACATGAATCATGAGCAAGTGAATGGACGGCAAAGGGGGCACCAAGTTCTACTCCAACTTTTTAGACACTGACCAACAATTTCGTCCACAAAGAGAATCTCTCTTGTCTCTAAAATAAGAACGGGCAGCCTGCAGCCCTCGACCTCGTTTCAAAAGTCCTTTGCAAGTGATATATTCCGTCTTCTGGCTAGCACAACCTGCCCGTCCTCTATTATTCTTCCATCCTGCTGGACAAGGAGGAAGAGGGAAGGCAGAGGGGAGGAAGCAAGCATGAAGGGCAATGGCCACTTTCCAGAACTAATTCAAAACCCCAATTAGTAGAATAACTTTAGTAGGTTGAGTAAAACCTCGCAAAGATCATGCAAGCTTTTAAGATCTCCTCATCAGGGAAGATGTTATAAAAGCAGCTGCAAGGCAGTGGGATATTCAAATAGGAGAGGTGGAAAAACCTGGCTTGGCTATGTGAGTTTCTGCATATTCAGAATGTCAGGACAAAAGGGGTGGATGGATTTAGGGGTGGTCTCTGCAGATATTCAAATTAGGGGATCCAGGTGATGGGGAACCTGAAGCTGCCTCTGATTGCTAGGAAGCATAAAGGGGAAAAGGTGGATTTCCATTTTGGAAATATAAAATCCAGCTGGTATTCAGGCACGTTTCCATTCTGGGTAAAGTACATTGGGCCCATTTTCTACCAGATCAGAGGAAGAAAGCAGACATTCTTTTCATTGGCCTAGCTGGAGTTAATATTAGATACCACCCTAGGTAAAACAAAACAAAACCCAACTTTGGTAGCTTTACCTAGAAACTGGAGGGGTACGCACCTACAGAGAGTAAAATCTTCTCCCTCCAGTATAGGGTTCTGTAGAACACATAAAAGTGGCATTCTCCACAAGGAACCCTCGAAGACAGCTGTGCCGAGTATAAAAAGCTAGAATCCTTTACAGTGCAATCCTATGCAGGTCTACTTAGAAGACAGTTCCATTGATTTCAATGGGGTTTACTCCAGGTGAGTAAAGATGGCAACCTTAAATTTAATTCTTGCTACGACAGAGTCAAGGATGAAGCATTTTAGAACTCCAGCTTCACTGTAGCAGAACACATACCAAGTATGCACTCCCAGGACCCTGAAATTACGTCCACATTGCAATGAGACCATCTTCTGAGTGAACCTTCACAGAACTAGGCTGCAAGTCAGATCCCATAACTCTGCTGAGGTGGGCTGTTGCATGCCTCAGAAGAAAGACTGTGTCCAGCAGGCATCCAGTTTGGTGTGCTCTAGACAATTTCTAAGAAAACAAGCAATGTCTCCATAGAGCTAATAATTGGGTTTGAATTGCATGATAGCTCACTGTGGGTTAGTTATCCCTTACAGCACTGCAACACGTACCACCCGTCATTGCAGAGCCGTCTTAACAGCATTATGGGCCCCGGGCAAAGCAGTGTCCTGGGGCCCTTATGACAACTACAACTGTTAATTTTGGAAGTTTTCCCATTTTCCAAGGGTTAACATACACAGATTAGAATGGGGCCCACGGGCAAGTGCCCATCAGGCCCATGCGTTAAGACAGCTCTGCACCACTGTGCATTATCCTCTGAACCCAGGCAATGGGGGTCATTTGAGGGTCAAACAAACTTAATGTATCCCAGTCTGTTTTAGGCTTATTTTTCAGAAAACCTCTGTGACTTGGGTTCACTAGACACATCAAAGCGCAACTCATGTTACAGATGTGCTTAATAGTAGCTAGAAGGTCAGATACTGAAGGAGGAGGGCTTTCTCTGCGGTGGCGCCCAACCTATGGAATTCACTCCCCAAAGAGGTCCGCCTGGCACCGTCGTTACAGGTAAAGACCTTTTTATTTAAACATCATTTTAATTGTTAAAATATATGATCTGGCCAGGGCAACTTCTTCCCTCTCTTTTCTCCTCCTATATTCTTTATTTACTTATTTTATACTGTTAATTTTAATTTTATATTATGTTTGTATCAGTGTATTTTTTGTATTTTTGTATTTAATGGTAATTTATTATGTATAACATAGAAATGTTATAATAATAATAATAATACTTTGGCCACCTGAGAGGGAACAACTCACTGGAGAAGACCCTAATCCTGGGAACAATTGACGGCAAAAGAAGGGGACTGCAGAGAATGAGATGGCTAGATGGAGGCACTGAGGCAGTGGGTGTGAGCTTGGGTGGACTACAAGGGATGGTGGGGGACAGGAGGGCCTGGAGGAATGTTATGCACGGGGTCGCAATGGGTCGGATGCGACTTTGCAACTAACAACAACAAATAGTAGCTAGCACATGACACAACTCTTTGTGTGGCCATTAACCCACAAATCGCTGTCATATCAGGCAAACTGGCCCACCGGAACATCATTATAGTAGTAACATCTGGCAGAACTTGAAAGCCTCACTTGCAGTTTGCCATTCTTGTAACTCCTGCATTTCCAGGCACTTGGGTGTTGCCTATATGAGTTTTGACTGCCAAAAATGTCTGGGCAAAATAATTTCTCAAACACACAGTAATACAGCTATTGAAACAAGATTAAATGGTCTCTCTATGCAGTAACTCATCCACCCTCCAACTCCTACTCAGATCTGTGCAACTCAGACACTGGGAAAAGCGTGATGCGCAGAAAGTGCAGAGCAAATGGCACAGAATGATTTATGCAAGTGAATCAAATCACAGGGTTTGATGGAAATAAAACCAAACAAGCAACCCTCCAGCTTTATCTTCCAGGAATTCTTGCGGACTAGTGCCTCCCATTTTAGATTAGCCCCTCCATGCTAACCCTCCCACGCACGTACCACTGGCTCCCTGATTCGAGCTCAGACCACTCTAGCATCTTCGCTAACCCCTACTATTTGATCTCCTCGCCACGCCCCTCGTCGCTCCCGGGCCTCGGCTTAGCCCCACCCCTCCTTTTCTCCCTCGCCAATGAGCAACCTACACGGCTAAACAGAACCTCTCAAATTCTTAGCTGCCCAATCTGTGGCCTGATCCAAGAGTCCGATTTTGTTTCCCGTGAGCCGCTATTGGCCTGGCATGACCACGATTCCCTTTTTTTCAGCGACTGAGTCGCGGATTTGAAAAATCGCGCCTTTTCCCTGCCGGAGAGGAGAGTTACTTCCCTGACAAAAGTTCTAATATTTTTAGGCGGACATTCAGACACCCATCAAGAGAATTAAAAGGCCATCCCTGTCCACCCAGAAGCATTCTGGGAGGTGTAGTCTCTTCGTCCTCCAGGGCTTCGCCTGCTTTGCCAAGTATTGGGCGAGGGTGGGACTACAATTCCCAGAAGCCTATGCCACGATGGGAGTCTGTTCGTGTCCCTCCTGGGCAGACAGCCCTGGGGAGCGTGAACGGTCTTTGGGAGCCGGAAAGAGGCAGCTGCGGCGGGCTCGGGGGCGCTGGCAGGCCTTTGGCCGCCTCTTCGTGCTCCTGGCTGCGCCTCGCCCGTGTCTGCCCTCAGAAGGGAAGATAGCGAGTAAAAGCCTGGTGGGTGACGTGTGCGTCGGGGGGCGAGCGGTCTGCTTCTTCCAGGGTTCCTTTGCGTGTTTGCATGCGAAGGGGGAGCTTTTGCGGGCTCACATGCCTTGGGTTGCAGCCTGCTGCGCGCTGCTTCTTTTAGTGTATCACGCTTCTTTTTTCCTCTTGCGAGGAGCTGAAGGCAGTTTGCGTCGTCCTGGTTCTTCTCCATTTTATTCTCACAACAACCCTGTGAGGTAGGCTGGGCAGAGAGTCGGTGACTAGCCCAAAAGGCCCCTTTGCCCATTTTATTTGCACTTCAACCTGTGAGGTAGGTTAGGTCCTAACCTGGTGATAGATGCTAATGGTCCTCCTCTCCGTTTTAAGCTACTAACAACTCTGTGAGGTCGGGTTGATGGCTGATCAAAGTTACCCAGTGAACTTCATGGCCAATGCGGGGAGCTTGGAATCCAGATCTCCTGAGTTTCAGTCCTATACTATATCACACAAGTTCTCTACTTTTTCCTTTCTATCCTTGATGTAGATACAGTCTTGCTATGCGTACCCCATGAGAATGGGTGAGGAAAGCTTGCATAACTTTTAGTTAACTATCCTACTTTGCATGAGTTGAATCTTACCCAGTTTAGACCTTTCACTCCCTTACACTGCTGATGTGGTGCACAGTTTAGGGCATGCCTAGTGTGGCTGCTGTGTATGGGGAAGGAGAAAATTTAAGTGTTTTATTAAGTTTAAGTTAACCACATTTAAGTGTTGTTTTTTATTGTGTTTTATCATGACTGTGAGCTGCCCAGAGGCGCTGTGGCACAATTGGGCGGCATATAAATATTTTAAATAAATAAATTGTGCTAAGTTTGATGGGCATCAGCTGCACTATAAGGGTTAGGCCAGATCAGGTTGGCTACTTGGTGCCCACCAAATGTTTGAGACTACAACCCCCATAATCTTTGACCACTGTAGCGGAACTTACGGGCTGTCTAATCCAAAACATGTGGAACCAGTTTGGCTAGATAATCCCCTGGGGTGTTGTGAAATATAAATGGATTCTTGACCTGAAGTGATTTTTGTAGCTACTTTCTGTGCTTAGGCTAAATGTTAGAAGCATTCAACTTCTGAAAACATATGAGACTTAAATAGAGTATGTGTGTTGCAGGCAGATGGCTTCCGGTCAGTGTCTGGTATCTTCAATTGAAAAGATCTCAGGCAGTCTGGATAGGGAAGACACCTTTGCTGAACTGCTGGAGAGCTGCTATCAGTGACAGTATTAAGCTCTGTTAACTACTGGGTCTGATTCAGTTGAGGGTGGTTTCATATATTCATATTGGAAGCCAGGTTGCTTGGCAGAATGCTAGGCATGGTCTGTCAGGCCCTTTGTACAAGCAGTGTTTTGAAAATCATTGTTGTGCAGAATGGTGAGCTTCCTTCTGTGTAGTATTTGGCCAAGTGTGAGAGGGTGTAGTTTTTTTGATAGCATTTCTTTTGGTTCATGTCAGCTTGAGCCATTCTTACAAAAGGCTGTATTTTGTTAGATATGTGGGTGCCTTTCTCTCTTCTATTTTTATTTTGTAATCAATCCAAGGTGCATCATCATTTTGGAGTTATTTTAGAAGTAAAGACTGTGATTTGCTCATTGTTGTCAAACATGAGTTGCAGTCTGTCAGATTGACATAGTGATTCTCTGTGGTAACTAATGATTCATGCCTCATATTCATGTCATTTTATTTATACCTTTTCTCTTTTTGTTGCATCAGACAAAACTTCTGTGGTATAATGCAGTGGCTGAGCTGTAAATCAGATAATGGCTTGAACCTCACCTCTAGTCATGAACTTTCTAGGTAATCATAGAATTAGAAGGGGCCATGGAGGCCATCAGGTCCAACCCCCTGCTGTTGCAGGGCACCACATTACACCTTCCCACTCAGATGGCTGCCCAGTTTCTTCCTGAATGTCTCCAGCGAGCCCATGACCTCTCCAGGCAGCTGGTTCCACTGTCGTATTGCTCTGACAGTGAGGAAGCTTTTCCTGATGTCCTGCCTGAATCTGGGTTGTTGCAACTTGAATGGATTATTCCGTGTCCTACACTCTGGCATCAGCAAGAAGAGATCTTGACCTTCCTCTTTGTGATAGTCTTTGAGGTCCTTATAGAGGGATATCATGCCCCCTCAGTCTTATCTTCTCAAGGCTGAACATGCCCAGTTCTCTTCAGTCTCTCCTCAAGGCAAGCTGCTCTCTCTCAGCCTCAGTTCCCCTGCACACCCCATCTGCTATAGCAGTTTAAGAGTACTCACTGACCTGGCAAAGTTGTTGCTATGTGTCACAGCCAGCAATGCATGTTAAGCACCCTGAACACTTGAATGCAATATGCAAATGCAAAATGCACTTGCTATTAGTACTCATTCCAGAGTATGGTAGGTTGCTTGAAGGAAAACTGTAAAATAGCAGCCCCTGACATGGCGCCCTCAGATGTCATAACATCTGAGGTAGCCTGTGGAAGGGTCCCCAACATACTGTCCATGAGCCCTTGAAGAATCTTTTAATATCCCCACCCTCCTTTAAAATATACATACATAGATTTGCATGAAATGTGTATGACTTTCTGGCAATTCTGTGTTGGTCTGCTTTCACTGAAGCTTAATATCCAAAGTAATTTCCATTTGCGGTTGGCATCTATATGCTGTCTAGTCGTACACCAAAAGTACTGTAAAGTCCTCAATTCATTACATTGTGAATATTTATCATTCCAGTTTTGTGGTACTCTTGATTGTCAAAGGGTGTACCAAATCCATTTACAGTGGCCATTTGTTGAAGTATTTCTATGAAGCAGGGAAATAATGTAAAAGAATGTGTAAGTTTGTGAATATTAAAGGCTGTTCCAGTACAAAAATTATTTGTATAATAACCCCCTCCCTGAAAGAAACAGCTGCTGGGTATTGCCACATTATGTGTTTTAAAAAAGCGTTAGCTGTATTGTACCACCAGCTATTAGTTGAATTAGACAATCCCGTCTGAAGAGATTTGTGCTTGGTAGACACAAAACAAATATCTTTACTGAATAAGACTCAGCCTAAGATCCAAAAATGTGATGGATGGATGCCAAAGTAGTTTTGTTTTGAGTAATTAGGATTTTGGGGGTGGCGTCCACAGCAGACTCTCAAGTGTACTCAAAGGTCCAAAAACGCTGGGGACCCCTTTGCAGTTTTTCTAATTTTCCAATGGGGGCCTGAGGCCACCTCCACTTGGGCTAGAGATGTCAGCCCTGGTTTGCCCTAATGTTCACCACAGTCAATGCCCACTGAATGAAATTGTTGTGTAATTCAGAATTTTACACCTCACCTTAGTTTGAAAATATAATTTTCCCTTTCTTTCCTTTCAGTATCTGCACCCTGTAAAGCCACAGCCATGGATATCTTTGGAGATCTACGGCGAATGAACAAGCGCCAGGTAAAGAAAAAGTGTCGCCTGCTTGTTTGCAAGCATACTGGATTTAGGCTGTGTGGCACTTGGCTATCACCTGGACTGGCTTATCAAGGTTGCCTTATGGTCTGGCAATTCTTCAGAGCCCTGCATGACCTGGGGCCAGCATATATGGAGAAAGGCACCTATCTCTTGTCCTAAGCTCGGGAACTTGAGGGGAGAGACAGACAGGGAGAAGATTCTTGGGTTGCAGATTCTGAGTTTTTGCACTTGTTTGGTACTTCTGTGAATTACACTCAGTCCTGGCTTTACGTCTCAGAAACAGATTATGGATTTACCTGTCCTTATTGTCAGTATTAGTCAAGACAGTTTTTGAGGTGGGGAGCTGCTGGCCACATCATACTTGCAAACTGCAGCAAGATGAGTTTTCACATAGTGCCATTAGACACATGCTGAACTCAGTCTTGTTACATAACATGCACTGTAAACAAGTTATTGGTGGAAGGTGCAGTCGGGAGGTGTTGGATTGCCCTTCCTAAAACTATTGAGAGGGCTAAAGAAGGCCCATTTTTATTGCTTCCAGGTTCCACTTTCTTTTTTTCTTTCCTTTCCTCTCATCACATTTCAAATCTGAATGCTAGTGGTTGTTGTAAATAACATGTATTCCCGCCTGACCCGGCCGCTATCCCTTAGCTGCCCAAAACAAATGTGACTGCTTCATGTAGGATTGATGAGATAAAATAAAAACTCTCAAGCTGTTTGGGATCAAACAAAGAGGAGGGGAGAGGAACATCCTGTGGAGTATTTCATTACTTCGCTAAGTTTCCAATTGTCTCCTCTTTGTGGATGACAGAAAGTACAGTCTGCTCCAGCCAAACTGATGTCTTAAGAACATGAATCAAATGGATTTGACAGGGTTTGTGCTTATTCCGAAGCACTTACAGGGTTGCCCAGTTAGCAGTTCAAATATATGCAAAACTCAGCTCACTTCTGAAAGCTTTGCAGTGACATAGGAACTGCTGGGTGAGCTGTACATGGGCAGAAGGATTCACAGAATCACTTCACTGCATATCAAAACCTGCCTGTGAGCCCCAGGACTTAGGTGGACTGATCTGATATTTGCCTTTCCATGGGTTGAGCTTGCAGAAATGAGTTCTGTCAAAAAGTGAAATCATTGCAGTAAGAACTTCTGTACCTTTTCAGTGGAGTAAGTTCATACGCTCTGATTTGAGTTGTGAGGCAAAAGATGTATATCTGTGAGCAGAGCCCAAGAAGTGCAAATTTGTATGAAAAGCCAGTAATCATTAGTCTTGCCCTGATTGGCCTGTAGCAGGAGGCCCCAACCATTTTGGACCAGTGGGTGCTCTCACAAAATGGCTGCCATAGGGCAAATGGCACTGGCCCATTCATAAAATGTCTGCCATTTGGGCTTGGCCTGTCACAGAATTCTCATTTCCCAGAAGGCAAGTGGGAGCTGAGCTCCAAGACACAACTGCTCCCTTGAACGCATTAAAAAAAAAAAAAGATGGCACTGAAGTGCAGCACTTGGCCCTGCAACATGCTAGCTTCTCAATTTTTAATTATTTTTCTTTTTTAAATATTTTTATTTGATAAACAGCAAAAGAAAAAGAGGAATCTTGCTGTCCCCACCCATAATCTCAGTAGTTTAGTGGGTAAGACACTGAGTTCGTGGACTGGAAGTTCAGCAGTTTGAATCCCTAGTGTTGCATAATGGAGTGAACTCCCGTTACTTGCCCCAGTTTCTGCCAACCTAGCAGTTCGATAGCATGAAAATGCAAGTAGGTAAATAGGTACCACTTGGGTGGGAAGGTAACAGCATTCTGTGCACGAAAGCATCCAGTCATGCTGGCCCACATGGTCATGGAAGTGTCTTTGGACAGCGCTGGCGCTTCGGCTTCCAAATGGAGATGAGCCCTGCTCCTTGAGCTGCTCATGACTAGCATGCCTGTGCAGGGGGAACCTTTCCCTTTTTGTATACATATATCCACACTGGTGTGTGCACATATATTCAGAGTTCCTGTTTTACATCACTAATAAAGGTTTCAGTAGGTTGACCAAATGTAGAGTGCGAACCTGGGAGGGGCAGGGTGCCTGGTGCTTGCCACATTGGCGATCCCAGGGCTGCCACATGCCCTATTTCATGGTTTTAGTCTTGTATGGAGTCCAAACACATTGCCTTTGTGTTAAGAAATGAAGGGGTGGGTGCAGGACCCAGATTTTATTTATTTTCCCTTTTGTACCTGTACTTGAAAAAAAAAACCCCTAGCAAACTGGGTCAGCTTTCACGTGAGGCTTCACGGGGTCAGCTTTGCAGACAGGAGAAACGGAATGCCCTACTTCTTCCTCGCGAGGATCCCTTTGATGGCAGCTTGGCCGGTGTGCCCTGCCCCATGATAATTTGTTTTTGATTGTCCTACTTTGTGAATCCCCGCCATGCTGCTGCCCTCATTATAAAGACACAGCACCCTGGGAAGAGCTGTGCCAGGGCTGAGAAGGCTGAAGATGGAGAACTCTAAAATATTTACATCTCAAGATCCAGGCGGCTTTTCTGTCTGAAACAAATAATTCCGTAGTAAATAGTGTTCCTGTTTCTGTGTCTCTTTTGTGTTCCTAAGCAGCTGTAGCTATGAAAAACACCTTCTCCTGCAACATAAACAAACATCTATTTTTCTAGTCTGTTTTGGCCACTTGGGCAGACTTGCAAAGCCAGTACAGGCAAGTGAAGCAGTACTGGAGTGCTGTGTCTTCTTGTGGGGGCGTGCCCTAGCCCCCATTCACCCCTCGGTTCTTATTTCTTAGAAGATTCAGGACCTGCAGTTCACACACCAAGCTGATTTTTCCAATATTTTGACAGTCTTGCTTGAAACAAATGCCAGTTGTATTGGTGCCGCGTGTGTGTTTGCATGCAGGGAGTGCATGGAGAATATTTTAGATACTCAAGACAGATAATAATGGCATCCCAAAACAAGTTTAGTGGCACCGTATCTTTAAAGCCCGTCTTTGTAGCATATCATTTTTGCTCACTGCATCTGCGTTTTCTTGCAGCTCTATTACCAAGTCTTAAATTTTGCCATGATTGTATCTTCTGCCCTGATGATATGGAAAGGCCTTATCGTTATCACTGGGAGTGAGAGTCCCATTGTAGTAGTGCTCAGGTATGTGTCTTTATATGAACTATTTTATTCTTGGGAAGTGCGTGACTTGCAGTTTTTGCCCCATGTCAGAACAGTATAACTCTCAGAAAGGAGAAGGAAGTGGGGAGAAATATATTTTATAGAGCAATAAAAGCCAAGTTAGCCATATGTTAAATCCCCAAATCCAGGTGATTATAATACCTTTAAAGAGGTCAACCCAGAGATCACAAAATAAATGTGAAGTTTCCAAGAGCAAAAGCTTGCATGTTTTTGGTGAACTGTTGCTTGGCCTAATGAAGTTATTACAGTAATAGGCATGTATACCGTTGAATGCAGAGCCATAGTTAATTTTTTCAGGGACACATGCCATTGAATCTGCATTTATTGTGAGTGTGTATTTCTGGTTTTGGGGCAAGCATTTTAGCCATATATCTGAAAAGCCTTAGATGTGAAGCAGCTCATAACTAATTGTCTGTATCTGTTTATTTGTGGATGTGAGCAAAACGATTGAAGGAAGCAGAGCTCACCTTGAGGAACGCTGCTCCTGCTGCAACCTTCTCTTGGTTTACTGCTGCTCTGCACTGAGAGGGGCTTATCTTTTCTCATTGGTACTGGGTTTTACATAGAAATCCTGTGGATTTCTGTATCCCGCTCCAAGCCTATGTGAGGGGGCTGAAGGGGGGATCTTTTGGAGTCCGACTTGTCACTGGAATTGGTAGATCTCCACCTGCACACCTGGAGCTGCCAAGGTTAGACGCGTGCCCTTCCACCACCACCACTAGAGGGGTGCACCTGCTCATCCTAGTCCTTTCCAGCCGGTGAGTCCAGGGACTGGGGTTATGCTCATATTCAGCATAGTTGGGGCTACAGTGGTGATGGCCCTTTTCCATTCTTTGGTTGATTTTGCTGCTCATAGTGAGAGGGCTTTAGTTAGACTTAGCAGCGGATCTTTATGAGATACGGGACTTATAGGGGAAGAACACCCAACCTGTATGGGCTTGGTGATCACCCTCTTGATCACTATTTGCAGCAGTGAGATGGTCTTTTGGCTCCATGTATACCTCATTATTTCAAGATTCATAGTCTTAAAATGTGAAATACAGTTCTGGTTAGATAGCGCGGTATAGTTTCCATATCCTGCTTTAGTAGGCAGTATTCAGCTTTATATTTCTTGAGTAGTCATAAGTGGCAAATTACTTTGACTATAAATATTTTAAATAAATATGAACCCACCTACAGAATAGGTCTGTGATCCAAAATCTTCTTCTTCCATTTTAGTGGCAGTATGGAACCAGCTTTCCATCGAGGAGACCTCTTGTTCTTAACTAACTTCCGTGATGACCCCATCAGGGCTGGAGAAATTGTGGTCTTCAAAGTCGAAGGCAGAGATATTCCAATCGTACACAGAGTAATCAAGGTTCACGAAAAGTAATGACCAGAAACATTCCCTGTTGCAATCCTGTTTGGTTATTAGGAGTCAAATTATTTGGAAGGAATAGAAATTTGCTTTTAAATTGAAACGGGGAAGGTGAACTGGGTGGAGGACCGTTCTGTTCTACATCAATAATGGCGATGTTCGCCTGATGTACGCACATTGAATGGGTGTGTAAATGCAACAACCCTTTCTTCAGTTTTGTTCTTCCTTGCGGTATGGCAGCCTCCCTTCAGGGGGATGGAGGTGCGGGGCCCCTTGCGCAGATGGCTGTAGGTGTGCGGCAGGGCAGGGCCTGTGCCTAATGGCACCGCTGCGTTTGGCTTCCCCAGATGGGGCAGGCACAAAATGCCTCTCTTGGACGCCTGTGTCAGTTTCCTTTCAGGCTTCTCTGTGGCAAACCAAGGACCATCCCTCCTGGTACAGAGCCAGGTCCATCCACTACCATATGGAGCTCCCTTTTCCTAGGCCAGATCATTTCTCCATCTAACTCAGTTTTGCCTACCTTGGCTATTGGCATCTCTTTAAAGAGGGTTTTTTTCAGCACCAGCTCTTTGAACAGCATATGCCAAAGATGAAGCTGTAACTTTCTTCATGCAAGGATGAGCTCTTCCATGGGCTGTGATCCCTCCCACAAAGTCAGAGCCTTGTCTGTGTGCTAGACAGTGACTGACATCCTCCATGAATTTGTCTGATTCCACGTCTACATCTTGCCCAAATGGTCGATGGCTGCTTTTTTTAAAGAGCCTGGTAAACCTCTTGATTTTTCCCCTCATCAAAACTTTCCTAAACTGACGATGCCTTTGCCTTTTCACGTATTCAGCTGACTGTTCTTCATGTCGAAGAACACATCAATTCCTTTTAATGGCAATATCTACTTAATAAATGTGGCGCTAAATGGATATCCCTTATGGTAACTGCTTGGCTAAAGTAGAGGATTAACACATCAGTGAAGAAATTATTGTCTAGTTCTGGCAGTAACAGCCATAAGATGAATGCCCCAATATTTATTAAAACACAGGACAGGCAGCTTTTATGTACTAATATCTTATCTTCTAATCTGTCCTTTCCGTGCTTTGTGAACATTTTAATTCAGGACTATAAAAAGAGGTGCTAATGACTTTGCTGTCCTGTTGGCTTGCAGGGAAAATGGGAACATCAAATTTCTGACGAAGGGCGATAATAATGAAGTCGATGATAGAGGCTTGTACAAAGAAGGCCAGAACTGGCTAGAAAAGAAGGATGTTGTTGGTAGAGCACGAGGGTGAGTACTTAGCATTGTGTGCTTTGCTACCTCTGTAACGAAGGGCAGCCCATTGGTGACTCTAAAGTAGTGCGGTGGTTAATTGCGAGAGGATTTCTGCTTTGCAGTTTGTCCCTCCACCCCCCAGAATCTCTGGAAGGTTCCTCTACTATGACATTGGCAAGCCTTTGTGCTGTAACATCTTATAATTTCATCCATTTATTACATTTATCGGTTTAACTTGGTGTGCTGCACTGAGCAGGGGGATGAACCTATTCTATGATTTCTATGCCTTCTAATTTCCAACACTACCTTTGCAGATACTAAACTCTGGCAAATGGTTGGGTTTATTGCAGCTTGTTCTTCCCTCCGTCCTCCAGCCTCTATCTCACAGCAGAAGCCATCTTGTCTGCCCCTCCTCACTTCAGTCATGACTGCATATATAATTGGAGTCTTTATTTTTAGCAATTCAGAAACCTGAGTAATTGCATTTGTACTTTATTATCCTTTTGTGGTTGGCCTTGCCTAACTGTAGTTGCCCAATACATGCACCCTCTCCTGGTCAATTTCCATATAAGTTTCTGCTGTCAGAAGAATGGAATAGGCAACCTGCACAGAAATTAACAAGACGGGACTGCATAGCCTAACTTGCACACAGCTGCCGGGGTCTGATTGTCAAGCTGTCAATTGAAAAGCATCAGAAAAGAGGGGCAAGTGGCAAAAGAAGGTGCACCAAAAGTGGGGGTGATGTGAAGGATCCCGTCTTCCACTCAGCAATGTTTGTCCCTCTTGATCTTTAGGTGTTGAACTGGTGATTCCCAGTGCCCTTCATCCTTTCAACGTTTCCCTGAGTCTCCAACTGCTCTAGAAAGGGGAGATATTTACTCTTCTCCTGCTTTGCTGCTGCTTTTTGAAGCATTTTTCTGCTGTGGTTACTCCATTCCAATTGTTCTTTAAAAAAAAAACCTTGCATAAATATATGCAAATTTAATGTCTCCAGACTAAATGGAACAGAAATTAGCACAATTTAAGGACTGGAACGCAGGCAGAGGCTAAATTTGCACACCTGCAGTGTCTGTTAGGAAAGCAGTTACTGCAAGTGCACAATGTCCCCCTCCATGTACTTCCCAAGTACACATTTGGGTATATTTCAGTCCAAAAAGGGTATAAATATTCCTGTTTGTAAAAGCAAAGAAAAAATGCTTGGAAATGGCAGGATGGGATCATCCCAGGGGAGCGCTGGCAGCATGTAGGTCTCTTTTCCGGCAGGTCAACATTCACTTGCTCCCATTCAGTCAGGATCTTGGCTCTTTTCTAGAACTGTTAGTGAATCATGGAAACTGCAGCAGCAAGTACTCCAGAAAGGGGCAGGGAGAGTTAATCATTCCCTTTACGGAACAGGTAGGGAGTCAGAAGTTTTGAGAACGTGGAGGACATTGAAAAGTGGTTAAAAGCGAGAGGATTATGTTGCTAAGTGGGGCATAGTGTTTGTCTCTCCACTGCCCATAGAATCATAGAATAGTGGAGTGGGAAGGGGCCAAGAAGGGTCCAACTCCCCTGCATTGGGTCCAACTCCCCTGCTGTTGCAGGACACCCATTTACACCATCCCACTTTTGGTGCACCTTCCTTGCTGCTTTGTTGGGCCTGCTGGACCTCACTGTCTGCCCTGGCCATGATGCGCATTCAGAGGAGGTGCTCAGCTTTGGATTTCTTGCTTCTGGTTTAAGCATATTCTTAGACTGCAGATGTAAGGTCGCCTTCTCCAGGTTGGTGATTGTCTAGAATTTCCAATACCTTCCAGCCATCACTAAGCTGAGGAAGGCTGGCGTAGGTGCTAGAAAGTTAATTTTGAAAAATATAGTTGTTTTTAACCAAAAGCTATTAGGTCTCAGGAATGCCTTGGACATATTTTTCTAGTACCTTATGTAGCTTAATGTTATACACAGGACTACTACGTTAAGCTGGGCTTTAGTGAAGTGACTTTATGCTGTTCTGTTCAACTTCTTTCCATCAGGTTTTTGCCTTATGTTGGAATGGTGACCATAATCATGAATGACTATCCAAAATTCAAAGTAAGTAAAAATTAAAGTTGGGGGTCAGTGACTTAAAGTGGTAGTTTTTCGGGCTTCTGTTTGCACATCCACTTTGCCAAATCTGTGTAGCCACATAAAGGGAAGCCTGGACCTCATAGGTTTGGCACCAGTCTTGGTTTCTGCCCTTTCTGAACTCCTCCTTTGTGGGTTGGCTCAGGTTTAAGATCATTTTTGTCAAAGAAATAAAAAGGGCCTGTGCAAGATCATAAACCTTCCCTTGTATAGCTCTCATTAATTTCAGTGGAACTTGTGGAGTGAATGTTCCTAGCAGATTGTTGTCAATGTACAAACAACTCACCAGCCTTAAAATACATTTGAAGGGACTTTGGAATTGTGCAAATGTTGTATCAGGATCCTGTTTCTTAGCTGAATGAGAAAGAAGGGGAGCTGTTGTTCAGCATTAAGGATTGCATGGGGAAATGTTTGCGATCATATATTTAAACTGATGAGAAAATTACCTTGCTTTGAAATAAATTGAAAGGCTGGATTTTCATTATTCCAACCAGTATAGGCAGGCTACCTTAATAGATCCTAAGCAGCATAGAATAAAACACTGACTCTCAGACTAAACAATACTTTGCAACAACTTGTTTCAGAATTAAGAACTGGGAAGGACTTTGTGCTTATGTACAGTACAGGTTAAATAGCAATGAATTCAATGGCAAAATGTCCATTGATTGTAATAGATGTGTGTCGTCTGTTTTTTTTTAAACTTCCTTCAGTGAAAGCTAGACACTAGCTAAAAATAAAGACCTGTTCTTCAATTATAACAATATGCCAGTGGTTTTCCAGTTGTTTCCTAGGAATTCAGGTTGCACAGAATGCATCTGTGATTGAGCCCACAGGGCGCTTGCTTTTTATTTGGAATATTCCAGGTTCAACCACTGGCTTTTCCATCAAGGGCTGGAAATGCCCCTGTGCTAGAACCTGGGAAGCCATTGCTAATAAGTGTAACTCAGCTTTCCCCAGTGGTGTCCCCTTATGTCAGATTTGTAGAGCCTCTTTCAGATCCAAGGCATTGTTCAATTTCATCCAGTCAAAAACTACAGGGAAAACTAGCTCTGTATTGCTTTTACAAACATACTTCATCTTGCACAACATATTTTTTAAGATGTCAAAGCTGCCTGCAGCAGCATTGTTTGTAGAAGACTGCCTGTAGGTATAATTTCCACATACAGTGAATCATGCAGCAAGAGAGCATATCCTCTGATGCCCTCAGATTTCAGTTTTGATAGAAGTTCTAAAGACCAGGATGCAAATACTGGGTTTCTAGTCAAGTGAGAAACTGTAATATATGTATCCATAAATTACTATCTTGAACCTGTGCGGCATTCTGTGCATGGATACTTCATTTCAGTCGAAGGGTGCAGCTTTATGCTCTGCAAGGGATGAGTGCAGTATCAGTTTCTCCGAACATTGCCACATTTATGTGTTGGGGTAATCATGAGTTCATCGAAGCATCCCTGTGGGCAATTTTGACAGCATTTCACTTTACATAAACTAGGACAGGCGTCCCCAGTGCAGCACCCGCCTAACTTTTTCCCCATTTTTTTAAAAAATACATCTGCATAGGCATAGCAAGTGAATATGTATGAAATGCATATAACTTTGCAGCAAATTATACGTGCGCTTCAACCAAAGTAACCCAGATATCCAAATAAGTATCTGTTTGAAGGTGGTGTCTGGATGCCACCCATTCAAATATTGAAAGCAATGAAAGTTCCTCAGTTCATTGCATTACAGGAAATGAATGTTTATCCTTCCAATGTTGTGACATCAGTGCTTTGGCTATCATAGAACTGTAGAGTTGGAAGAGGCCAGAGGGCTGTCAGATCCAACCCCTTTCTCAGTGCAGGACACCAAATTAAACCATCCCTCTCAGAGGGCTGTCCAGTTGCATCTTGAATGCCTGTAGTGTGGGAAAATCCATAACCTCCCTAAGTCACTGTCAGAAGGGCATGGAAAATCTCTTTATGCTGATCACTTTTTACTTTCAGGTGAAGCAAGGAAGAATTTGAGCATCTTTATCAGTGAATATTAAAGACCATTTCAGTGCAAAATTTATCCATGTAGTAATTCCCTCCCCAAAAGAAGGAACTGTTGGGCACTGCCAACACATGTGTTTGAAAGAAGCATTAGCTGTATTGCACAGAAAGCAGTTAGCTGAACTTGGTCATCCCTTGTTAAAGAGAGAGAGACATGGTGTCCAGTGGACCTGAAACAAGGTTTTGTTGAATAAAACTCAGTCTGTGATCCAAAGACACAACAGGTAGACACAGAAGCAGTGATCCATGGATTCAGCATTTTCTTGTGGTGCCCACAGATGTTCTTCAAATTCCTAGATGTGCCCAGGGGTCCAAAACGGTAGTGTTTCAGCATCTAGATCAAGTTGCGCTCCATCATCTGCTTGGTGCTGTTGTGCGAAGTTGTCGCCCAGCACAGTTGCAGAGTCCCAGCGTGGGGTAGGTTGGTCTAATTGCTGGAAAACTTATTGGGAAATAGCATATCCCATTTGTGAGGGCTAATATGGTGGGCGATGCACACATACAGTACTAATAAGTTGATTTTCCTTCACAGTACGCTCTCCTGGCTGTAATGGGCGCATATGTACTACTGAAACGGGAATCATAAATGAACATGAGGTTGCCTTGCACGAGTCTTGAGCATAGATGTATGAAGAAATACTAATATATTTGAAATGCCCCCATGCCTGTACATAATCTGTGATGTGCAAACAATATTGTATTGTCTTGACAAATTTTACTGTTCATGTCGCAGTTCTAAAGATCTTGTGGATGAGCCCAACTGTTTCTTTTGGGACAAGCTTGTAAGTGTTCTTAAGACTGCAGCCTCTTTGCATTGTAGCAATTTTCACTGGTGTGTGTTAACAGAAGTGAGTTTCCCAGTCTTCACAGTGGCTATTAACCAAGGACAATGATAAATCCTGGAAGGGAAGTGGGTGGGAATGACAGTGCTAGCTTCATACTATGTGTGTCTGGAGGGGGCAGGGTGATTAAAAGTCCCAAAAGTAGAATATCAAATGGGTAAAACATGATTGTTTTGAAAGTGTTTTGACAACATCATTGAGCCTGTAGTGTAAACGAAAGGTCCTCTTAATTTATTTCTTCACAAAGGAATCTTTGCACAGTTCCCACCGCTGCGTTGCCACGGGGTCCAAGCAGTCCTGGTGCATTTGTCAAACCACATGCAGCCTGTTCTTGCAGCACAAATTCACCAACGATTCCAAGGGCCTATTACCGTGCTTCTAATAAAGCTTTTCTCCCCCCTCCCCCCAAAAAAAGAAAAAGAATGAGTTATTTAGTCATGGTGAACCTTTCCACAAATGTGGCATTATTGAGTCAGGCTTGCCTGAGAAAGCAGCGGTATGAAGTACTTGGCATGTATGCACGCCATGCTGTGCTAGAGCTCACTTATGTTTTAGCCTACTTGGAAGCTGGCCGGGCTAGGCTGTGTGAGTTCTTGCATCCCGGGGCAGCTTGATCATCTGCACCATCTTCCCAAGATTTTTGTTTTTTTAAGATGCACAATTTTCAGAATTTCACATATAATCAGCAGGAATCATTCCCATGTCTATACATCAAGGAAAATACCTTCAGTGAATTAGTGATGCGTGAGTCTAACTTCTTGCCAAGTCTGATGCATGAGATCCAAGGTTTTTAATTTTTTTCTTTTTGGAGATTGTCCTGGTTCATCGAAGCCTCCTGGGGAGTGGATCATGCTTCCAGGGCTAAAGCTGGGGTAGAATGAGTGTAGCTGCGTATTAGTCAATCCAAAATGGGTTATTGAGAGTCCCTTGTGCATTCTGGGCACAGATGGTTGATTTACATTTGGGCTTGTTTATACATCTTCCCAAATTACTCCTCCTTTCTTGATAGTAAATGAGGGGAAGTCTGGTTTTGGAGTCAAATATATCCCAAGTAAGCCATGAAAATAAAATACCTAGGGCTGGAATTAATTGGGACAGCATTGCAAACAACAAATTAAACCTTTATTGAGAGCTCTTTTTCATGAGTTAACCAATATAGTTGCAAATCTAATGTTCAGAGTGTGCGTATCCAACACCTGTAAGAACAGTATTTGGAGCCTAATTGACCCCATGTTTTCCAAACATACTGTGCTCTTGATATGTACATATTGTTAGAGTCACATAGATATAGCATGCAGAAATCACATCTTGTGACTTTTATGGAACAAACAACCATAGCATATGGTTCTCAGACAGCCTGTGCCCGGTTGCCACTTTTCCCAATTGCATAAATGGGCCAGACAAAACAGTTCCAGAAAGAACATCTTTCTGTCATAGCTTCAAGCTCGGATATGACATCTGCCCCTCCCTCTTTTCTGGTGTCAGCACTGACATGACTTATGGCAATGAGACCTCCACCCTGTCTCTCAGCCAAGCCTGGTATGTTTCTAGGCACATCCCAGAATTTGATCAAGCCCAAGGTTACTAGGAAAGTACATCCTTTAGGACGTTCATTGTGGATAGTTCAGGTGTCAAGCACTTAACCTGGCCATTGTCCACCATTTGGCAGTGTGTATGGAGGCCTGTCCAGCCACATGTCTGTAAGCATCTCTAGTCATAATAATCTCAGGCTTGGATTAATCAACTCGGATTGCTGCATCTTCTCTTCTTTGGCATGCTATTTGGAAGGATCAACAACTGACCATAAGGTGCAAGGAGGACTGCCCCAAAAAGCCATTGTAGAAGTTAGTAGATCTGCAAAAGTGTAGTACAAGGAGCTTCCCTGGGGTAGGGAGGGTTATGGGATCCTGAAAACACAAACCAGTTTAAATGCTGTAGCTTGTCCCAAATGTTACTGGGAAGATAGAATTTTGTAGTGCTATTCAACATACTCTGCTAAATCAATTTGTGTTCAGAGCACTCCTGTCTCTTGAAACCCATTTTTTGGCTTTTCACAATCCCTTTGTGGCCTTAGAGAAGTCACTTAATGTGAATATATCTGTATGTATTTTTAATTTTTCAGAACGGTTTGCCTTGTTTGCATCATCACAGTTATAAATGTGTCCATTCCATTAATTTCTTGTTTTGTTTTTAAAAGTCAACTGCTGCAAGGTTTGCTAGATCTCTCTGAAAAGATCTGCAGAAAATGTGAAACGAATGAAGTTCAGTCCAGTCCTGGAATATATTCGCAAATGTGATGGCCCAGAAAGATCTCTTTCCTTGTTTTATCATGCTATGCAATAATATCATTAAAAGATTGATGTCTTTTAATACTTAGCCAAGTTTGCTGAGTTTTATTCTCCATGCTGTTGCGACACTTTTGTGCTTTATTACTGATTGTTTGAAAATGAAACTAGTTTACCCCTCTGCCCAGGCGGTTGCATCCTTTGTTTTCCCTTTGGTTATCAATAGATACATGTAGCTCTCTGTGCACAGAAAGATTGTGGACAGAGATGGGATACATAGGACAGGTACAGGTGATGGGAGACTATCTCAGTCATCCTCCTGGATTTTTTTTTATCTTGAACCTCTATTTTGAATTGGGTTGTCTTTGAGTTACACAAAACACCTTGTTTCAATGTCCAGACTTCTTTTCTTACTGCCCTTCAAAACAGGGCATAATCCCAGATCATCTCTGGCAACGTTGGGTAGGGCTGAGGCAAGTTGCAGCCCAAGTCCTTTTATGTGCTGCACAAGTTGCCTCCCCCCACATTAAACTCCCCACACGTCAAAAAGGGGGGGATGTGAGTGCATCCACATTGCTCCATTGCCCTCTTGTAGTATTTCCCCCGAATTGTTAGTAACGGAGGTATTCAGTGACTTCTTCTGGGGCAGCATCCGATCCATCTTAAGAGGCAGAAGAAACCCTGCCAGTAGAACAGGGTGGTTCCATCAGCAGGTGAAAACATCTGGAAATGCTGTTTCCTGAAAGTACTCAGTGAGCTTGGGCGGTTTAGAAATGTTATTCAGAAAAAGATAAATAAAGGGGGGGGCGGTACCAGTGCAAAATCCCAGGAACAAATGGAAGTGCTCATTCCTAGATTAAGACAGGCCTTCTGAATTTCCTTCTGTAGGTTCTGCTGACCTGTCTCAATCCCAAAATGTGTTTCTCCTTGTTTTTGGGGTTGCTTTTTGAATTGCTACTTCCTGTTGGGCAAGTGATGGATCCAGCCTGTGATGCACATCATGTGGAAACGATGCAGCAGCAACACTGGTTCCCATCCTGTGTGTGTAAAGTAGTACGTAAGCCCACATTGCCCATAATGCTACGCCTGAGCACATGTGCCCCCTTACTGGAATTGGGCTTTTAACCCTCTGCGAGATGGCAGTGAGTGTACCTTACAACTTGACCACTTGAGTTTGGGGTCTCTCTTCTTGGAAACACATTTCTGACTCTGGAGCACTCTGGAGCTCTAAGGCTTCCTGTGTCCCTCATCCTTACTTGAAAAGCCTTCTATCTCCAAAAAAATTTGACTTCTGCCAACAGTGGGATGGAGGGGAAGACAGGGAGAGAAAGAGAGAGGTGGCTCCACTCACCAATGCCGCACACCCTGTCACGCTGCTGTAAGGGGCTGCAACCCTCAGAAAAAAGCGCTCAGCTGTACTCTGAAACTTAAGAGTTGAAAGAGAATACAAGGGTTAGCTTTCCCTGGCGCAGAATGCAACAGATCATGCACTGACAAAATGTTTTTTCCAAATCAATGTACTATTAGATATTGATATGTATGTTGGCTTGTTCACATGTTCTTCTCAAAACTATGAAACAAAGTTTCTTCAGATGTCCATCATCTGACAGAGATATCCATAACTGAGTCAAATGAGTTCAGATTTCTCTGAATGGGATCTACAAATGTATTGCACAAACCTGTTATATGCCATCAAGCCATCTCTGACTTACGGAGACCCTATAAATGAAAGCCCTCCAAAATTTCCTATTGATGGCAGCCTTGCTTAGCTGTTCTAGATTCAAGGCTTTATGGAGTCAATCCATTTCTTACTTCATCTTCCTCCTCTTCTGCCTTCAACTTTCCCTAGCATGATTGTTTTCTCTTGCCTTCTTGTGGTTTTCCTCAAAGTATGGCAAGCCTTAGCTTTGTCATTTTCGCATTTAGGCAAAGTTCTGGCTTGATTTGATCTGGACTCATTTGTTCATTGATCTGTTCAGTGTATTCACAAAGCTCTCCTGCACCATGTTTTGAATGCAGCAATTTCTCGCCAGCTTTCTTCACTGTCCAGCTTTCACATACATAGTGATCAGGAATATGATAATTTGCATGATCTTGACCTTGGTCTCCAGTGAAACATCCTAACACTTGATCTTTTCTAGTTCCTTCATTGCTGTTCTTCCAGATCTCAGTCTTCAAATTTCTTGGCTGCAGTCTCCTTTTAAATTGATGACTGAGACAAGGTATACAAAATCTTTCACAACTTTGATTTTCACAAACTTGGGTCCAGTTTTTTTTTCAATGGTGAGGGGATTTGCAATAAGTTGCATTTACACTGATGTGAATTAGCTCAAATGTGAATTAGTGCAAGTCGAATGATGTTCTTGTAAAAAAATCCATTAGTGAGCATATGACAAAATGAAATGCAAGTTGTGAAAAGCAGGTGGAATGGATTTAATAAAATTCCGCTGAATAGGAGCATTTGCATTTTCCTAAAGCCTGTTTCTGATAGTTACATCTTATTCATATCATTCGCAAATTCCAGCAGAATCACAATAACACCAGCAGTACTTGGAAATGAATTTCAGAGGGAAGGTATCCCCTTTTCTTTTTTAATTTCACTGCATGATCCAGTCAGTGGTGCCCAAAGGGGGAGAAAACTCAAGGTAATAACTTGGTTGACATTTAATGCTGTAATCATTGCTTCAGTTCTGTCTACTCTGCTTACACCCCAAAAGAAAAAAACAGCTGGCTTCAATCCTGTGTTTTGAATAGAAATGCTAAGGTTAAATAGGGCCCATGGGAAGGACAGTTTAAATGGGTGACCTAAGCCCAGAATCTGCTTCAGGATTTGAGTGGAATGGGGGAAGATGGAGGGGTCTTCTAAAAATATGTTAACATCTTGTCTTTCTTCTTGTGCAAAGGAGCACGATGCAGCTTACATAGTCTTCCTACACTCTATTTTATCCTCACAAGACTGTGAGGTGGGTTCGGCTGAGAGCCAGGGACTGGCCCAAAGTCACCCAGTTAGCTTCATGGCCCAGTGGGGACTAGAACCCAGATCTCCTGAGCCCTAGTCTAATATCTAACAACTATACCACACTGGATCTTGTAAGTACCTTAGCTACAGATGGGGGATGCAAAGCTCTGATTTTCTGCTCAGACTTCCTTGACTGTTTGACAAAAATGGGGAATGGAGTCCTTCAGTTGGACAAGCTCCTTTCCTGTACTGGGATCAGGGGAAGGTGGAAGCCTGATCTTGTCTCTCTCAAGGACTGTCCTAGGCTTTTCTGACAAAAATGACCGTAGGTCAAGGGCATTGATCATACACTGCTGCAGCCAGACAGTGTCCCATATGGAAACAGTATTGAGTGTGCTTATCAGCTGGGCTGTGCATGTGATGATTCCAGGAGAAATGGGGGACACAGAAAGCAAGCTCTTCTGGCTTCAAATATAGGTGACTGAATGATGCTTTCTGTACTTACGGGGCTTCATTTTGTCCTCCTCTACTCCTAGGACAACCAGCATGAATTGGGCAAAATAAAAACTCTGCAAATTAAGAAAGACTTATTGGCATATGTGCTTAGGAGAACATACAGAACACATCTCTTTATCCACTGAGTGAGTGCAGCTGGTCCCCACATTTTTAGTTAAGGAGCATAGCTGGTAACAGATGAAAAGTTTGTAGGCAATCAAAATGCTGGCATGCCTTGTTTTTAGAAATGAAACATTTATCTGAACATCCTGTGAACTTATTTCTGTTCTTTTACACTGTATGTTGTCTTGTATTGCCTTTAAACCTTACAATAGGCACTTTCACCAAACTTTTGACAAAAGACAACATGCATTCTAAGGGTCATCCAGAAGCAACTTGACAATGTACTTGACAACAACAACAACCCTGAGCACCCACTTGTAAGGGTGCTTGATGCAGCCCATCCTAATGTGCTCCAACAGCCTTTCTTACTATTTGACATTTTGCTTTTTATCCTGTGGTTTTCATGGCTATTTTCAGGGTCCAATACCCTTACAGCCATTTCTCATTGAACTATTTTTAGACAGCCTCTTATGTCCAGAACAGAAGTTACTAACTATTCTGGACTGGATCTAGTCTTGGTCATGCTTCAAACAGAATCATTGACATCCATGAGCTTTGAGTTAGGCATGACTAACTTGCTCCATTGATTTAAGTGGGTTTAGTCTCAGCACAACTAATCTGGACCCATGCATTCTAATATTCAGTGTATTCTGACAGCCATTTGGAAGGAACCAATATATTTTACGGGCCATTTTCTGTCTTTTTAGTATGTCTCTAAAAGACGGATTGTGAGCTTAAGTGGACTCCGGGGGATGGTGGAGGACAGGAAGGCCTGGAGGAATGTTGTCCATGGGGTTGCGATGGGTCGGACACGACTAACAACAACAAAAGACAGATGTATGAATGACTGACATTCAAGGAAAAGATCTATGAACGAGGTCTAAACGTTCTAGTTTCGCTGTACAGAAAGTGACAAAACAGGCGTGGGTGACTGATGTGGTGGCAGAAAAGATCACACCTTTGGAACAGAGTTATCTGCAAAAGGTACAGCTGGCCAATCTCTTACATTGATTAAAGCAGCTGTTTTATGGGGGGAAAACTCTCCCATGTTAAAAGTCATCTGCTAGGTATTGTGTGACTGCTCAGATGAATTAGGATATAATCATCGTTGCAGCAGGCAAAAACGAGAAGTACTCAGACCAGATAGCATCTGACTCAACCTCTTACAGTATTTATTGTTTCGTTTTCATTGTCAATTAGCCTTATTAAATTTGGTGGTGAAAGAGACTGTCATTTCCCTATGTGCAATAACTTCCAATGTTCCACAGAGATGTCCTGCAGGTTTTATAATACGAGCCAAACAGAACTTTATTTCCGTTTTCTATTTTCAGTGTCGCGGGCAAGCATTTTTCCTGTGCACTGGCGATCATGCATGTGCCCTTTGCAGACTGTACCACCTGGCACCTCAGTTGCTCTAATCTTTTCTACATGTCACAAGGGTCTTTGTGGGCATCTTACTCGATAAGATAAAGGGATCAACTGGAGCAGACCTGGGGCAGGGGTTAACCCCCCCT